ATTTCTTTCCGGATCCCAACCAGAGACCTAAGATCACAAATGGCATCATGACCTTTTCCAATGAACATTTTTTGAGAAGAAATAACAAAATGAAACATCCCTAAGATCATACATATTTTACATAGATAAAGCCCTCCCTAAGGTGTGGGATGTACTTTTTTGTGTTTCTTAGGCGACCAGGAATCACTTCACATAGTTTATCCTAAACTTTTTATTATTATTATTATTATTATTATTATTATTATTATTTCCTTTGATTTCTGTTGTTTACACATTTCCTTCCGGGTCCAGACCGGAGACCTAATGTCAGAAATGGCCTCATGAGATTTTCCACTGAGCAGTTTTGAAAAAGAAAATCATACATATTTTGCCTTCGTAAGGTGTGGGCTGTACTTGTGAGAACAATTTTTAATATTTCTGTTATTATTATTATTATTATTATTATTATTATTTTTATTTCTTATATTTTGCCTTGCCTAGAGGAGGGGGTCACTTTACAAGGAAATTATATAGAAAACTAAATACACACTTTTTAAAATTTTGAAAATTATTTTTTTTAATTTATTTGTGATCTGAAAAACTGATTTAAAAAAAAAAAAACATGAATATGTCTTGGAAAGGTACGTTATTGTAAAAACAGCCTTTAAATTCTTGGCTACCGACTTTTATATTCGTTGAAAGCCTTTTGTTATTATTCGTTATGAATTTAAATTTTGGAGACATTATTTTGACGTAATAGGACATCAATAATGCCGCAGCCTAATAACGCAAAAGACATTTAAATGAAATGTATTTATTTTTTATCATATAATATGTCAAATTTTATTATGCAAGACAATGCTATCATAATAAATTAATATTAAAAATTCGATGTTGATACAAATCTCAGGATAAATTAAATTAACTTAAAAAAAAATTCATATAGGCAAATTGCCGTGTGAGTTTCATTTTATAATCTGTCCTTATTTTATAAAAATATGGATAATAATTGTTTGGGAGTGTCAAGCTTTATAAAGCAACATAGATCTTTATCTATATAAAAAACATTCCAAAAGCTATAGTCACCAGAAACCTATATTTGATTAGCACTATATCGTATCTAGCTGAATAATTTATTATTTAGCTCTTCGCTATGGTACTTAGATTTTATAAATTCCAGTGCAGTACTAGATTGGCAACAAGGTCCCATCAATTTAAAGTTAAATTCTCTAGATGCAACCGTAGGTTCTATGCTAACAGTCTCTTCCGGCTCCATGCTTTTCATCCAACTTTGATCTTCAAAAATTTAAACGCAATGTCAATCGCTATCTACTGTTTCCATGATTACACTTTTATTTTTCTCGTTCGTTAATAATGTTTCTGTTTTCTAATTATTTCACACTCAGTACCTCCTTGTGCCTTAGTGGCTTTACTGACTTGCTTGGGGTGAAATGATTTTTTTTTTAAATTATATTATGGGTCTCTTTGATATTCGATAACCTTTATCCGTGATTTTCCCCAATAATTTTGTTAACTTTTTAATGTTGCAACTCCAGTATTACTTGCAATAGTTTTTTTTTGCTTCCGAGAATATATATATATATATATATATATTTTTTTTTTTTTTTGGCTTTCTTACGCCCATATCACGTTGAAACACCGGTTCTCTCTCAGTCAGCGAAGTAAAACAATGTACAGCCTGGTGGGTAACCATTTGTGTGTACCAGGTTCTGTACGCTACACGACACGTCTAGCAAACCGGCTACTGTTACTAACACAAAACTTCGATATGTACAAGTGCTTCGGGGCTGACAGATCACAAGACCTAACTGGAGTTGGGTGAGAAGATATTTTTTTATTTGAATATTGTTTATTATTCTCATATGCATCTCTTTTAATGATAGACCGTAAGTTTTCTATTAGATTTATTTTGATTAATGTCAAGAGACGTTACGGATGCATCTAATTAATTTGATGTCTTCCAAGCTTATATTGCTAAGATAAGTAATGATCAACTGTGTCCTAGGTATGACGATAAGTTACATCTGGCAACAAGGACACCGATCGGGGGTGGTGAGAAGCGTGGAATCACCTCTTACTTGCTGTTGTTCTCAGGCCCACCATGACCCTCGATGATAGCACCTGTTAGGGTCCCAGCTTTGGGCAAATAGTGAACCCCCAAACTGAGGTCAAAACACTACGAAAGTATAATAATACATTTTTATAGTAAAAATAATAGAAATAGATTTTCATGGTAAAAAAAAATCTAGCAATAGATTTTAATAGTAAAAAAATACCAGTAATAGATTTTAATAGTAAAAAATCTAGCAATAGATTTTGATAGTAAAACTACCAGCAAATGATTTTAATAGTAATTAATCTAGCAACAGATTTTGCCAGTAAAAAATACCAGAAATTGATTTTAATAGTAAAAAATCTAGCAATAGATTTTGATAGTAAAAGTTACAAGCACTTGATTTTAATAGTAAAAATCTAGCAATAGATTTTGCTAGTAACAAATACCAGCAATTGATTTTAAAAATAAAAAATCTAGCAGCAGATTTTGATAGTAAAAGATACAAGCAATTGATTTTAATAGTAAAACTCTAGCAATAGATTTTGATAGTAAAAAAATACCAGCAACTGATTTTAATATTAAAAACAAATTACCAAATCTCCCAAGAAAATTACATTTCATCATTAAATGGCCGTTAAACAAACTAAACAAATAATCAACTCTTCAAATCTGCAGAATATAAAGCGGCATTATACGAATAAAACCTCTTTAGTTTTAAGCTTGTTCATTGTAAACTGTACCATTAAAATGTCTTTTTCAAAAACATTATATGTTTTTTCCATATTTAATCAACTTCGCAAACGGACGCCTAGCCTAGTGGTTGTCAGCGTCGAAATATAGACTGGCGTGTCGAACTCAAATTCTAACCGGAGCTGTTAAGTTCACTTTAGGCAGATATATAAGGAAAGGTATAAATATATTTATTCTCTCTCAACTTACCCACTTAGCAGGGGAGACGGCGTTCTTCAAACTAGAAGAAAGACGACACTGAATTCAAAACTGGTTGGTCGTGGAGATAACAACTGTACCTCATAAAATTCAACCTCAAGCACACGCATCAAGTCTTGACTATTTAATTTTTTTGTGTACCCCACAAAAAAATTACTGTTGAGAAATCAGTTTTCAGGTAATTTTTACGTATTTGTGCTGCCTACATTAAAGTTGGTAGTTTGGATGTTTTCATGCCTTCAGCCAAATTTGTTTTACATGTCCTGCTTCTTTTTCTGCTTATATTTACAACAAATGACACACATATGAGATTCACAGCCCATTAGGATCGTAGGGGTGCCACATAAAATTGCAGCCGCAGTAAGAGAGGCGTTTCCTCGACCTGATAGCTTGACAGATCCCAACACGCCCCAGGCCGGTTTTTCTATCTCCTTGACAGGTTGCCACCAATGGCTATAGGACCCAGTCTTTTCTGCTTTTTACCCGTAGCTGAGAGGAGAAGAAGAGTATTAGCACGTAAATTAATGTAATGAACTCGATTGGAATTCGAACTCGGCTTTTCGTTTCCTCAATCCGAGCCACTATCCATTACTGCGTGACAACCTAATCTTCCATATCATTTACACCCTTACAACAACAGATTACATATCAGTTACACCCTTAAAATACCAGCTTCTATATAATTTACACCCCTACAGCAAAAGCTTCAATATTATTTACATCCTTATGACACAAGCATCTATATCATTTACACCCTTACAACACCAGATTCTATATCATTTACATCGTCACAACACCAGATTCTATATCATTTACATCGTCACAACACCAGCTTCCACATCTTTTACACCCTTACAGCACCGGATGCCATGTCATCTACACCCTTCCAAACCCAATCTTCCGTATCGTTTACGCTCTTACAACTACTGCTTCCATATCATTTACACCCTTACAACACCAGCTTCCATATTATTTACACCCCTACTACACAGCTTCCATATCATTTACACCCTTTACAACACCAGATTCAACATCATTTGCACACTACATCAAAAGATCCTATATCATTTACATACCTACAACAAAAGCTTCCATATCGTTTGCACTCTTACAACCCCAGCTTCTATTTATTTACACCCTTATAACACCAGGTTTCATATCATTGACAATCTTACAGCACCGGATTCCATCTCATTTACACACTTACAGAAGCAGATTTCATACCATTTACACCCATATAACACCAACTTCCATATCCTGTACACCATCACAACACGAGCTTCCATATCATTTACACCGTACAGCACCGGATACCATATCATCTACACCCTTACAACCCAGTCTTCTATATCATTTACACCCTTACAACAACAGATTACATATCAGTTACACCCTTACAACACTGCTTTCATATAATTTAAACCCCTACCACTAAAGCTTCCATAACATTTACACCCTTACAACATCATCTCCCATATCATTTGCACCCTTATCTTGCCAATATTTTCAATTCTATTTTTGATCGTTTCTTGATTTCTATTTACCGTTTTCTCTATTTGACCCTTTATGTTCCAATGACTCCATAACTTTACAATGACTTCGTTTCTATTTACTTTTTTGTTGACATTTTCGCAAGTCAGCTTTGCATAATGGGAAACTGCAATGTCAAGCATAAATATATAGTTTCGCTTAAAGCTTCTTGACTGTGTCCGCTTCTTGTACAAGCATTTACTGTACTTTTCTGCATTTCTTTTGATATCATCATCATCATGTGTGAAAGGACCTATAATTTTACAGCTTACAACACTAGCCCAAAACATTCCTCATCTCTCCTTACTTGTCTCACATTTTCCTGTTGGTTATTGACGCAATATCTACACCAGTCACCAGGACCATTCAATGTAGCTCCACTTTCATCATTTAAAATTACTGATGAAAGATCAGTTTTCATTTATTTGTTCAAACAATTTACATATTACATCTTGATGATGCTCACTGAGATGTGTAAGATTTTTTATTTTTTTCAGAAATAGCTAGGTAGGTAGGTAGCATAGTAGGTAGGCAATATGGTAGATAGATAGATAGATAGATAGATAGATAGATAGATAGATAGATAGATAGATAGATAGATAGAATTTGAATGGCTTGATAGATAGAATTTGAATGGCTTAATAGATAGATAGATAGATAGATAGATAGATAGATAGATAGATAGATAGAATCAGAATGGCTTAATAGATAGATAGATAGATAGATAGATAGATAGATAGATAGATAGATAGATAGATAGATAGAATCTGAATGGCTTACGAAATAGATAGATAGATAGAAACAGAATTGCTTGCTTGATAGATAGATAGATAGATAGATAGATAGATAGATAGATAGATAGAATCTGAATGGCTCACGAAATAGATAGATAGATAGATAGATAGATAGATAGATTCTAACTCATTAATGAACTGAAAAATTTTGTGTTTATTAGAATCTCACAAATTCTGTTTTAGTTGCTCGTTGTATTGATAAAAAATCAAATTCATTGATGATATTTCTAATTTATTAGAAAAACTTCTCATATCATCTGCTTCTGCCACTTCGCTTACTAACATCCAAATATTACGAATCAACTTTAAGCACTGACGTATTAATGATTGTTGAGAATACTGTAAAAAAACGAGTTCATACAGAAAGCAACAGCTTAAACTTTAGGGACACATAATTACGAAAGAAAGCTTGGAAAATGTAACACTTTCATGTCACATCGAAGAACAAAAATGTAGACGAAAAAAACAAATAAAATACTAGACGTTTCTGTGCAAATGAATGAAGGAACGTGTCCCAAAAAATTAATGTATGGCTTGAAAAGAAGGAAGTATTTCTGAGGTAAACAAAATAGGAAGCTGTTGAGAGCCGTGATTTCCCAATTCATGTAGACAATGATGAAGAAATATAATATTTTAATATATTCTCACCAGATTTATTTAATATTTCCTTTATTAACGTTATATTGATTCCTTTCGACGAAATACCGAGAATCCATAGTTATAAGGAATTTCGGTTAGAAAACACTATCAAATAGAAATAATATTCACTTTGGTAGATTCTTTTGCGAGAAAGTCGACAATTGTGTCGCTGTTCAGGTTAATGATTTTCCTTAAAAGTAGGGGAAGTGGTTCTGTTACCTTTCGCGCGTCTTAAATTGAACCACCTTCTAGGCCAGATCCTTATCGGAAGGACCAATAAAACCTGTCACAGAATAATATCTCTTGCAAATGATTTTTGACGTCTTCTGTCGTCGTAGTTTCGGCATGGACAATGCCAAAGGGAGAGAAAGAGACACAGTGAGAAAGAGAGAGAGAGAGAAATAATGAGAAAGAGAGAGATTGGGGACACAGTTTTATATACTTGCTTATTTGATCGGGTGGTTGTGCGCGTTGCGTAGTAACAATCGGCGCTAAAATAGGATTGGCGTGTCGAGTTCAAATCCTAGCCAAGGCCGATCGTTCCCGTTCGCAAAAATAATCAACGCATCCCCTCTCCTCTAGACGTTAATAGCAAGGGCTCTTTAGATGTACCTGGCAACCAGTTATAGGAGAATCCAAAACCGGCAGAGTGATGGACGAGCAAATCCAGCCTATAAAATCACGTTTGCTAATAAAACAATATCAGCAACACATCGCTTTATGTGTTCCACCAGTTAAGTCTACAGGGTTAAGTAAATAATATTCTTTTTGTTTTCTTTTTTTTTTAAGCATTACGCCCCGAGCAAGGCAGGAAGCCACTAGGATGCAGGGGGTTGCAGAAGATTTGGAGCGAGAGCAGATAGGAGTGATAGAAGAAAGGATGAGGAGAAGGATACTGGAGATGTCGATTGACATTACATTTGAATAGTTGGAGAGTATAGCTCTCAGGGAAACAGTAATACCGAAGGGTGTTCCACAAGCGAGAGGTGCGAGGTATGAAGATATTGGAATAGAATAGACGGCTACATTTAAAAGTTTCTACAGTGAAAGGGTGAGAGCGGGATTCCAGCCTCGTAGGGCGCTTGAATTCATGAAGTCTGGAGGAATTACCATGAAAGTACTTGTAAAAAAAGACAGAGGGAGACAAGGGCGCGTCTGTGAGAGAGCGACTGTAGACGAGATGCCAGATCAGGGCCAATTATATTACATATCCGCCTCTGTCAAGAACTTCGAGGTAAACAGAAGGTGCACCAGACCATATATGGCAGCAATACTCCATGCAAGGGTGAATGGTTGATTTGTATATTTGAAGTATCGTTTCCAGGGAGAAAATTTTCCTGGCGCGGCACAGAGAGCCAACTTTCCTTGCGGTGGACGAAGCAATTGACTCAATGTATTTGTTCCATCTCAACGTGAGACCGAGCAGACGCAGAGAGTTGCTCTCAAGAAGTTGACTATCAGACATTCTAATCTATCTCCATCTGAAGATGGTGGCAAGATACATTCAGCATTAAAGTACCCGCATCAAAATTCTATCCATACAATTTATATATATATATATATATATATATATATATATATATATATATATATATATATACATGAGCACAAGCGGGAAAAATTATAACAACAGTTAAAATCTGGTAAATTTTAATTGTATTGATGAAAAAGCCGTTTCTATACAGGAAATATTAGGCATTCATTGACCGAGCAGCCAGTGCCACAATCGGTTGAAATTTATAAAATAATAGAAATTTTTTTGCAACACGCTGACGATTGTTGTAATGTACACAGTATTAAGTATTGTTAAAGTCAACGCTAACATTTTTTGTCGAGATTTACAAACTAGGTCTCGTTCAATTGTTTTTATTTATTGATGGTTGTTTTTGTTATGTGAGTATTGCTTCAAGAATCACACCACTCACTTAATAATATATGTAAATATAAATATATATATTCAATAAATAAACTGAATGTTTACTCAATTACGAGTATCCACTAAATATAACGTTTAAAGTGATTATATATTCAGTTTATACGTTATTTTTGTAGATACAAATATTTAAGTAAATGCTCTGTTCATAATAAACCGTATGAATAATATAATACAATAATAATAATATAATGTATTAATAGTATAACAATAATAATAACAATAATAATAATAATATAAACAGTATTTCCATTTATAACGTATAAACAAAAAATATATTAAAATAATTGCCGGGCTTAGTCCATTTCATAATATATGTCATGTGTTTACGTTAAGCTACGCTTCGAGCAGATATGAGCGTTCGAGAGAAATCATGGGAAGTTTTGTCAATTTAACCTTGCTAACCAAACGCTTCCTCTGTAGCTAAATAGTATAGCACGTCAGGCTATATGATTGTTCCGTCGGAGGACATATATTTTCTATGAGATTTCTCGGATATTCAGGTCGGTAAATGTTGTTAATATATCATGGCATTTACTTAACTATTTGTATCTATAATAATAACGTATAAAGTGAAAATATATTAAAATAATTGTCAGACTTAGTCCATATCATTTATATATATATATATATATATATATATATATATATATATACATATAAAAGGCAGGTGTGTGTGTGTGTGTGTGTGTGTGTGTGTGTGTGTGTGTGTGTGTGTGTGTGTGTGTGTGTGTGTGTGTGTGTGTGTATAACGAATGCACGGCCGCAATTTTTGATGGATTTGTATCAAAATTTACATGCACATGCACCAAGTTAGCGGGAAGGCCAAGACTGACTTTGTATTTCCCAACTTCTATCGATAATGGAAATAATCGATTTTTTCATGCTTCTACGGCAGTTTTCATGTAGTTTACGGCCATTTTCTACTGGCCAGAATGAGAGCCTATAGCTGGCTGCCACGAATAGGCAGGAAGATTCTATTGGACAGCATGAGAGCCAACAGCTGACTGACACGAATGTTAACTATCATGCTAGCATGCAAAAAAAAATCGATAACTGCATTCGTCACAAGTGAGAAAAATTTAAATCTGCATGGCACTTTACTCCAATTGGCCCATTCGCTTGATTAAACTAAACTTTGATTCTGATTCCGCAGTATTGGGTTGGGTGTGAAAAAGTATTTGTTGTTAACATTCTTTTTTCATTCGGTTTTTCCAGTTATGAGTCCTTTTTTAAAGCTGATCGTTTTGTGTTCATTTTGTTTAGTTCTTTTTTCGTAACAGATTTAATGTTTAGTATAGAGCTTAGAAAAAAATCGCAGTGTGAGATTTAAAGCATGTAGCAACATCAGCACGGCAAAGGGCACTCTTTTAAAGGCAAGGAAGGGCAAAAATATTTTAAGTCAAGTGATAGCGATTGCTGTATGAGTCGTACGATTTTTGAATCAACACGGGCAACGCCAGGCCAGGCCATGCCGCTAGTATATATATATATATATATATATATATATATATATATATATATATATATATATATGTGTGTGTGTGTGTGTGTGTGTGTGTGTGTGTCCTCGGTACCTACATAAATCAGTTTCTGCAGTTTTCACTATTCCAGTTATTACTGCACCGATGCTTAATTTTCGGATTGCGATGTTTTTTTTTTTTTTTTTTTTGGTACTCATTTCTGTACTGTCCAAAAGTACTATAACTGTTTTTTTCTTTTCTTTTTCCCGAAAAAAAGCTTTTCCATTTTCAGCTGGAATCATGTCCAATTATATCAGAAGGTGTCTTTGGGAGTAAACAAGCGACCTATCGTTGCGATCTTGATCAAGTTACAGATTTCAGAAGCAAGGGATTGGTTAACAAGGTGAAAAGGAGCTAACAGATAGGATGAAAGATATAGTCGGCAATTAAATAAAAAACGCAGATGATGGAATGACAGGCCTGGTCTCATATCTTGAAAAGTTAGTTTCTCATTCAATATTATATTCATGAAATACACGACAATATCTATATAAATATCTATATATATTTAGAGAGAGAGGCGCAAAGACACACACACACATATACACACACACACACACACATATATATATATATATATATATATATATATATAAAGATATTTTTATGTTTATACATTCTTTTTTATAGATACAAATATTTAAGTAAATACTCTGTTTATAATAAACAGTATTAACGACATTTACCGGCCTGAATGTCCGAGAAATTTTCATAGAAAATATGCGTCCTCCGACAGGAAGGGAACCTGTATCCTATACGGAACCGCCATATAGCCTGGCGTGTTTTATCGATTTAGCCACAGAGGAGCGTTTCAGTTAGAAAGGTTGATTTTACTGTTTTTAAACTACAATTCTCCACGATTTTCTCTCGTAAATTCATATCTGCTCGATGCGCATCTAAATGTATCAAAATGTAAACAAATGACGTGACACATTATGAAATGGACAATTATTTTAAGACATTTTTATGTTTATACATTCTTTTTTATAGATACGAATATTTAAGTAAATGTTCTGTTTATAATAAA